CTGATGTGCCAGTGACAAAATTTCCAGAGGTGATATCTTACTCTAACTTTGGATTTTATCATAAAGTGAGGATGAAGAAATCATACTTGAGAAGGCAAGAAACTCTCACACATTAAATGCGTGTGTGCTTGGAACTCAACTGTATCTATTTTAATTAATTGTCACATGTCAGTGAAAAGTAGGTACAGTTAGGTAATTGAATGTTTTCAAGCAGGAGGTGAAAACTTTCTTATTTTGCTGATGACAAGCATAATAAGATGGAAAATATTTTTTGAGTGGCACATTGGTAACAATAGAAACTAATTTTATTGTTTTTGTTGAAAAACAACTTTGTTGATTTTATTTAATAAAGTAATAAAATCACAAGAAACTTTATATTCAAAAAAATAAATAAAAAAGAATGATTAGAAAAAACATTACATAGATAAATAAATGTAGGATAAGAATTAACCAATAGTGAGAAGATATCATAACCCAATCTAATAACCCAATTATGTATACCTGAGGATTAATTTTTAATATTATTAAAAATGTTTTATAGCATATATAAATGATTTATAACATTTATGTCAAAAACACTTTTATAACATATTTTAAAGCATATGTTTCCTATAATTTAAAATAAAGCTGTTTCCAGGATCCTTAAACTTATTTTTAAAAACTTACCATCAACATCAACAATCTTTAGTATCTGTCGCATTTCTGAATCACTTATAGAAATCTTCAAGATAGAAAGGACCAGCGGCAGATCATTCACATAAATCTTACCATTTCGAATTTTGCTAAAAATTTTACAGGCTTTATGAAGTGCTGCACATATGTAATAAAACATTAAATCAATCCAAATGAACAAATATCCTTATTCTCCCCTACCCTTCCTTAAGAAAATATGATAATCATTAAAAGAAGGGAAGATACTGAAAGAAAAAAATACAGATAAGGGCAAGGGAGATAGTCCAGCAGTGAATGCCTGGCAAGCACAAGGTCCTGAGTTCAGTCTCACATACCAAAAAATAAAATCAGTTACAGTTTTAAAAAATAGCAGATCTTAGGAAAATGATGGCAATTATGAATGCCCAACATAGGTAAGAAATAGAATCCATGAAAAAGATTCAGCCAGATATCCAAGAGACTAAAAATTCTATTGGAAGTATATGCAGCAGAAAGAACCAAGGTGAGCACAAAAGATAAGATCTAGAAGATAGGATTGTGGTTAATAATCATGAAAAGAAAGATTTCTTTAAAATAGCAAGGGAGTACAAAAAAGCAAT